CAGGAGCTGGGGTATAAGCCACAGGTGCAGGGTATGAGAGGGTTCACCAAAGACAGAGTGGGGGGCAGAACAGGCCAACTGCTGAAGTATACTGCGAGGGGAGCAGCAGGGGGTCAGGAGAGGTCTGCCGCGCCATGTGGTCACCTCCGGGGCAGGCAGGAATCGAACTCATGCAGAACTGGCTTTAGCTTCTTAGTGCTGTGCTTTAACCCGCTGTGCCACCAGGGAGGGCCACAGTTGTCAATTTTATAAGAATTACTGCACATTGTGAAATTTTGTCATTGACTTCCTTAAATAATGTAATCTAGTAGGTTTTTTAAAAATAAGAAATTAGTCAAGTAATGATATGAAAGAGTATCTGTATTGCTCAGAAAACTACAGGTTATTCTGGATAATAACATCCATAGTGCACAATGGGATTCACTCTTTGTGTTGTACATTTTTGTGGTTCAGACCCATGTATATCATAAATCCACCATTTTAGCATCATATAGGTAATTTTCATGCTCAAAAAATCCTCTGGGCTCCTGCTGTTACAGGACAGGGAGGGCACCAGTGAACCCCCAAACCTGCCTGCTCTAAATATGTTCTGCCATCCACCACATCATGACAAAACAGATAAAGACTTTTTAATACAGTGAGTATACAATATGGAAGACAAAGAATATAACTTCTAAATCAAACAACTGAAGTTACCCATCCCCTCATGGGCAAAAGTCGACCCAAAAGGGATTGGCTCAAAGCAAGGCCTGAAAGCCTGCCACTAGACTAAAGCACCTTCGGGCCGGGACCCATGGAAAAGGGTCAGACATGGCCAGACAAATCTGGAAGGAAAAGAGCAGAGTCAAAATCAATATAAACACTGCCATAGTCACCTCCCTACAGGTCTCTCACCCACATCTGCCTTAACCAGTCCAGGGTCAGGAAACAAGCCCAGTTTCTTCATCACATGCTTGCTGCTCCATGTGGCTTCCTCAGGTCTCCTTCTGGCTCTCCATCCTGCTTCCTTCTTCTCAGTTTCCTTCTCTTTTCTCTGCTCAGCTCCACCCTCCTTCTGGGTGGGGCCGGGAACCTGGAACTTCCCCTTTTCTCAGGGACCACCCTGTTACACTGCTTTTCATGTTTCCCTCCCCCACTGCCATCCCTGACCCTTGCAAATCACTGACTTTTTCGAGAATGTCACATGATTGAGTTTACACAATATATAGCCTCTTCAGTGGCTTCTTGTACTTAGCTACATGCGTTTGCTTCTTCAAGACTTTTCAGTACTTGATGGCTTATTTCTCCTGCAGTAAAGCCATTGCTTTTGTCTTTGCCTAAGGGGGGGGGGCCTTCCCCCCCCCCACCTCCAGATAGCCCCAGGGCTGGGTGGCTCTTGCATCTGGTACACTCTTGTCTTCATAGAGGCCTTCCCTAAATGGATCTCCTAACACTCATTCTTTATTTGACTTTGTTTTAATTCGTGGTACTCATCACTCCCGGGCATATATACTACATTTATTTATTGTCTCCAGCTAGGCTATAAACCCAAGAGGGAAGGACTGTATTTTTTTCATAGGTCTTAGAATAGTGCCTGGCATGGCCTGGCAATACTTGACAAAAGAAGTTTGTGTTGGGTGCTTTATTTGAGTAATTTCGTTTAATCCTGACAAGAAACACTGGAACTGAGTACTGTTTTCTCCCTCCCTATGGAGGAGAAGATGGAAGCCAGAGGGGTGAAATGCTTGCCCCCATATTTGTGACTCCCTGTGCTGTGCCAGCGTGTCTTTTCTTTCTTTCTTCCTTCTTTTCTTTCTTTCTTTCTTTCTTTCTTTCTTTCTTTCTTTCTTTCTTTCTTTCTTTCTTTCTTTCTTTCTTTCTTTCTTTCTTTCTTTCTT